ATCGGACGGTTCAGATTAAATTGCGATGGACGGCTTAGATTAAAAGCGGAAGGTTATAAATAATCTCATCTACATCCAAACCCAATCCCTAGCTGTCAGAGCCCTCGCCGGAGAAGACAGCCCAGCCACCGGAGGAACCGACCGCTGCCACCCGCCGCCACACTGGAGCACTTTCCGGCTGCCAAACGAGTTAAAAATTTTCTTTTTGGCTCGGATTTCGATTCTAAACCCACCTGTGGCCAAATCGGAGCCAAAACACCGGCCAATTGCCCAAAAAATGCCGCCGAAGCCTAGCGGCGCCGCCGCAGGTTTACTCGATTTTTACCTCCGATGAGGTCCTTCTCGATTTTCGTTTGATGTAATTTTTCCACAATTGTGACCACCGTCCTTTCCTCTACAGGTTGACCGGAGCAAAACACCAAACCGCGACTCGAGTCAGAGGAGTCGCCGCACCCGAGAGCTCCGCCACCGATAAGTCTCAGTTTTCTGTATTTTTTTAGCCCACTGAGGGCCCTACGTGTGTTTTATCACAAGAACCAATGCAAGTTTGACTGAATTTGGTCGAAAACGGTCAACCTGATGCGGATCGCGGCGGTGCCGTCGCCGGAATACGACGTAGCCTCTGTGCCGAAATTTCGAAATTGGCCGAATAGGCCCTAGGTCTGATTTTAAGTTATTTGGGGACACGTGTAGGTACCGGAAGTGTGTTTCAGTTCCCAAAAAAAAATTCAGGAAATTTAGGGACAGCCCGTAGGTGCAGTGAAAAAAAAACCGGTCTTAGACTCCGAATCAAGTAAGGATCTCTCACCCTATTTTCTATCACGATATTAAAGTTTAATAAATGATAAAACGACATTTTATGAATTAATAGATATGTATAATTGATTAAAGTTGCTAATGGAGCCCGAATCTGATATATTTTCGGTTAGTTGCTGTTTTAGTTATTTTACAGTTTTAAATGCATTATAGTATCTGATCTATTTATTTTATGATTTTGAATGCATGAATCACTGTTTACTTCATTATGGCTTTATTTTGTGAATTCGATGATATGACTGCCTTATTGGATGCTCATTACTAGTTTAAATATTCATGATTATGTGAGAAATAGAAAACTAAGAAAAAATAGAAAATGTATGTGAGTTGATAAATGGATAAGTCGACAGTCTCACTAGATATCCTTGGAGATGGTGGATGTATCAGGTCCATAGGGAACCCTACCGGAGACGTTGTCTCTCATATCGGATGGAGTATAGAGACTTTAAATGTTTTGGCGCTCATACCGGACGGGGTATGGGGACGACCTGCTTCACCCTCATACCGGACGGGGTATTGAGATTTATAGTTTTGGTGCCCATACCGGATGAGGTATGGGGACGATATTGGAATTAAGTTATTAAGGTGAATGGTTCACGTGTAGTGGGGACCCCTATAGATCCCCATGTATACTGGTAGACTGGTAAAAGAGAAAATTTGTTGCATGATGATTAAAATATTAAAAGTATGACATGTGTTATGTTACAGAGTGCGTATGATTTCCTGATATTATAATGTTATTATTTTCATAAGTTATTTTCATGAATCTCACCGAGATAAGTAGACAGTAAATGGTTTTATTATTGATAAATGAATTTGTTATAAATTATACTCTATTGGTCATTTTTATTTTCTACAAACCTTTAATTTTGTTATAGTGAGATAGTATGACATATTTACTGGACTAGTGTAGCTCATTCCTTACTTAACCATTTCAGATCAAGAGGATTTGGTTCCCAAGCTCGTTCTGCAGGAAGACGGCGAGTAAATACCTAAAGATTTTATAGTTTTCCTTATAGTATTCATTTCTATTATTTAATTTAGTTAGCTTATTCTTTTATACGTTTAATACGTTTTGGTTATTGTGTAAGGGATGTTAACCATAATATATTTTATTTCGCTTCCGCACTTAGAAATTTTATATACATTTCCTTTAAATTTCTGAAACCGTTACAAAAATTCTTTGATTTTATTACTCATCTAATAACATTTATATTTTATAAAATTTATTTATAAAGTATATGCAGATCTTGGAGGTGAACATCAAACTAAACTCATACTAGACTATAAAAGATTTTACAAATAAGACTAAACTTAATTTGTCGATCTAGTATGATTTTTTGATTTAAATTAAATAATATTCACTCATAATGGATTTTGCTTTAATATTACATGATGATATTGATTAATTAAATTATAAATAAAATAGTGATACAAATCCAGTTGGCATAATCATAATTCACCGCCAAGACTTAATTTAAGCTCATATGGGAGCTTACATGGGAGCTCATGGCCATATGGGAGCTTACTCACGACCACATGGGTAATTACATGGGAGCTCACGGCTTCATAGGAGATCATATAAAAGCTCACGACTTGATGAGTTTAAGAGGTCATATATTATGCCATAAATGAGGAAATAAAGATCTCGTTCAAGATAAATAAATTCCACATGGAGATGAGTATCATATGGACCCAATTCAGGAGGCACTTGAGTTTATGGATGAAGTGTCACAAGATCATAGACCGATAAACTCAAAAAAGACTGCTAGAGATAAATCCATGAAAAATGAAGCCTTGAGCCAAACTTTGAAGACCTTGAAAAAGGGAGACCGAACCCATTAAACTAAGAGGAGAAATGGGTAAACACTTATCATATAACTCATCAAAACTTAGCACTAAAGAGTCCTACATATTAAGGACTCTCAGTCACCATTTTTCAAGACCTTTATCCATCCTGAGTTCATCAAAATTGAGCATCAAGGAGTCCTAAAGCTAAGGGATGTTCAGCTAAATCATCTACAAATATTTCACAAACAAGCAACTACCAAAAGAGTCCTTAAATTATGGGACTCACAAGTATTGATTATTTTCATGTATGAGAATTCGGTTATACTCATTTACAAGAGTTTTATTAAGATAAAACTAATTGTAACTAAGTTACCAATTGCTTTATAACTTAGGAACAATCAGTTAAGTGATTCTTCACAAGTTAGATATTAAGAGTCCACAAAATCTTTGACTCTCAGATAAGTATTCTCTTTGCCACTCACACCACTTATCATAGACAACTTTGATGGACTTAAGAATCATATTAAAGTCTTGATGAGATGTGAGAATAAGAATCATATTACTACAAGTCATTACCGAGATTACACTCTTCTACAATTCTTGTTACACACAATTTAATCATGGATAAAACTCCAAATCTCATAAGGAATCAAGACTTCTCAGCTTATAAGCATTCTTCACATCATAATTGAATCTTAAAAAATAAGAATTAAGCATAGTCAGCCACACACCAAGTAAAGACTAAAGAGTCCTTTAATGTATTTTAAATTATGAGTTTATCACGTAAAAGTAGTTATCTAAAAGTCCTACTTTATAGTAGTCTTTTTTTTTTTTTAATTAGAACTCTTGTTAAATTTATCTATAAATAGGCTTCATTATAAGTATAACTCAATTCAAGTTTTAATCAAGAATATTTCTTCAAAGGTGTTGGCTAAATGTGCTACTTGTGAGATTTTCTTCAACTTTTTTATTGTAAGAGAATTGATATTTATTTATTAGGATAACTTATTGTGTTTTCATCAATTTTTTTTTTATTGATTTCAACTTTTTAAGATATTGTCCTAGTGTTTAATCATTTTATATATCAAAATTATTTTAATTTTAATTACAGATTAATTGTGAATTAAGTGAAAAAAATTTATTTAGAGATTAAGTTTACATGAAAATTGTGTGT